GGGAAGATGGTCCAGAGATCGACGAAGGCGACGATGGCTCGGAGATCGACGAAGACGACGATGGCTCGGAGATCGACGAAGACGACGATGGCTCGGAGATCGACAAAGACGGCGATGGCTCGGAGATCGACAAAGACGGCGATGGCTCGGAGATCGACAAAGACGGCGATGGCTCGGAGATCGACAAAGACGGCGATGGCTCGGAGATCGACAAAGACGGCGATGGCTCGGAGATCGACAAAGACGGCGATGAAAAAGACAAAGATGAAGAGCTGGCACAGTTAGGCCTAGAGCTGGCACAGTTAGGCCTAGAGCTGGTACAGTTAGGCCTAGAGCTGGCACAGTTAGGCCTAGAGCTGGCACAGTTAGGCCTAGAGCTGGTACAGTTAGGCCTAGAGCTGGTACAGTTAGGTCTAGATCTGCCCCAGCTTAGTTCTTCAATTACGTTAATTATGTATTAACAGTACAAGCTGGGTAATAACGAATAACAACGAATAGTACAATTTATGACTATTACCTGCTAGGGAAGAGTCATATTTTGTACTTGCGCATTGTGAACCCGGACTAAGAGGATGTGGCCCGAGTACAGACAGATATCTCAGAACCGCCGTGGCGCGCGGGGGCCATATTTCAGAGCCTGAAAATGCGAACTCGTAACCTGAAAAAGCCAAGGCAGAGTGAACGACCCCACAAGTCCAAGACCGAAAAGGAAGAGAAAAGTGCGGGAGAAAACACTTCAGGGACTTAAAGGAGGAGCGGAGAGATAAAGGAAATAGTGAGAGAGAGAGAGAGAGAGAGAGAGAGAGAGAGAGAGAGAGAGAGAGAGAGAGAGAGAGAGAGAGAGAGAGAGAGAGGTGATATAGTGAGAGATAAGAGATAATCAGAGACAGAGAAAGAGTAGAAATAGAGACATGGTAGAGAGAGAGAGAGAGAGAGAGAGAGAGAGAGAGAGAGCTGGGAAGCATCATCTCTTGCACCCTAGACTGCACACTAGACCTTGGGTCCTAGGAGTTATATTCACCCCCCCCCCCACCCCCACTCCCCACACACAACAAGTTTATCACCCCAAATAATTTAGGGTCGGGAGCCAGGACACATCCACTCGACCCTGAGCAAAACAAATGGGATATTTTTGTTAAAGCAGCCTCAGGCCATTTTTTTTATTCAGCGAAATAGCAATTATGTACAATTTCTCGACCAAGTGCAACTAAAGTTTGTGGGTACGAAATCTTCTCTCATTGGTCCATTGTCCCAGCCCAGGGCATGGTAACGTACCCACAATGTTCTAGTAACGTCTTGATGTGGAACAAAAATAACTTTGTGATTATCTTGTGTGTTTTTTTTGTACATGTGTTCCATGTATAAGTATATTCTCGTCCTAGTCTGACAAGTAGTATTTCTTTAATGGTTTCACTGCAGCGCAGTGGTCTACGTCCTCATCTCACAATCGAGGGACCCCGGGGTTCAATCCCGGGGCAGGATAGAAACCGTTGGGCAAGTTTTAATTTACCTTATGCCTCTGTTCACCATCTCACCCCGCATCCATTTCCACATAAGGGGGGTACCTTCCCTACCTTGCATCACCTTCCCTACCTTGCATCACCTTCCCTACCTTTCATCACCTTCCCTCTCACCATCACCCCCCTACCCTTCCCCACCTTCACTACTTTCACCCTCTCTCCTTTACCACCTTCTTGACTCTTAATGGAAGTTGGTATCATTTGTTATTTTAAACCAATTAGGCAGTCTACCCCGACCTCACCTATGACCATCCCTGACACATGTCCAGTCACCCTGCAAAGTTTGGTGAGGCTCTAGACTCGAAAAAAAGACAAGCAAACACTCCCGTTTTATAGGAACAGATTTGTAATTGTTTTCTGTTGCACTGATCTGGGTTTCTGTTGGTCTACCGTTAGTTGTTTCTGGTTCGTTTAAGGTTAATAGGACCGATTTTTTGACGTTGTGGTTCAAAGGTTCAAATTTCGATGCATCAAGTGTGAGGACAGGCACGTTAGGTTCTCTTACACCTCACGTACGTGCACGTAAGGTTCTCTTACACCTCACGTACATGCACGTAAGGTTCTCTTACACCTCACGTACGTGCACGTAAGGTTCTCTTACACCTCACGTACATGCACGTAAGGTTCTCTTACACTTCACGTACATGCACGTTAGGTTCTCTTACACCTCACGTACGTGCACGTAAGGTTCTCTTACACCTCACGTACATGCACGTAAGGTTCTCTTACACCTCACGTACGTGCACGTAAGGTTCTCTTACACCTCACGTACATGCACGTAAGGTTCTCTTACACTTCACGTACATGCACGTAAGGTTCACTTACACCTCACGTACGTGCACGTAAGGTTCTCTTACACCTCACGTACATGCACGTAAGGTTCTCTTACACTTCACGTACATGCACGTTAGGTTCTCTTACACCTCACGTACGTGCACGTAAGGTTCTCTTACACCTCACGTACATGCACGTAAGGTTCTCTTACACTTCACGTACTTGCACGTTAGGTTCTCTTACACCTCACGTACGTGCACGTAAGGTTCTCTTACACCTCACGTACATGCACGTAAGGTTCTCTTACACTTCACGTACATGCACGTAAGGTTCACTTACACCTCACGTACATGCACGTAAGGATCACTTACACCTCACGTACATGCACGTAAGGTTCTCTTACACCTCACGTACTTGCACGTAAGGTTCTCTTACACCTCACGTACATGCACGTAAGGTTCTCTTACACCTCACCTACGTGCACGTAAGGTTCTCTTACACCCCACGTACGTGCACGTAAGGTTCTCTTACACTTCACGTACATGCACGTAAGGTTCACTTACACCCCACGTACATGCACGTAAGGTTCTCTTACACCTCACGTACGTGCACGTAAGGTTCTCTTACACTTCACGTACATGCACGTAAGGTTCACTTACACCCCACGTACATGCACGTAAGGTTCTCTTACACCCCACGTACATGCACGTAAGGTTCTCTTACACCTCACGTATATGCACGTAAGGTTCTCTTACACTTCACGTACTTGCACGTTAGGTTCTCTTACACCTCACGTACGTGCACGTAAGGTTCTCTTACACCTCACGTACATGCACGTAAGGTTCTCTTACACTTCACGTACATGCACGTAAGGTTCACTTACACCTCACGTACATGCACGTAAGGATCACTTACACCTCACGTACATGCACGTAAGGTTCTCTTACACCTCACGTACTTGCACGTAAGGTTCTCTTACACCTCACGTGCGTGCACGTAAGGTTCTCTTACACCTCACCTACGTGCACGTAAGGTTCTCTTACACCCCACGTACGTGCACGTAAGGTTCTCTTACACTTCACGTACATGCACGTAAGGTTCACTTACACCCCACGTACATGCACGTAAGGTTCTCTTACACCTCACGTACGTGCACGTAAGGTTCTCTTACACTTCACGTACATGCACGTAAGGTTCACTTACACCCCACGTACATGCACGTAAGGTTCTCTTACACCCCACGTACATGCACGTAAGGTTCTCTTACACCTCACGTATATGCACGTAAGGTTCACTTACACTTCACGTACCTGCACGTAAGGTTCTCTTACACTTCACGTACGTGCACGTAAGGTTCTCTCACACCTCACGTACCTGCACGTAAGGTTCTCTTACACCTCACGTACTTGCACGTAAGGTTCTCTTACACCCCACGTACGTGCACATAAGGTTCACTCACACCTCACGTACCTGCACGTAATCACTCACACCTCACGTACCTGCACGTAAGGTTCTTTGTAGTAACAAGTGGGTCCTGTGGCGCAGTGGGCTTCGTCCTGGGCTCACAACCGAGGGACCCGGGTTCAATCCCCCCGCCCCCCTCCCACGAGAAAGACAGCAACGGTTTGGGCATGTTTTCCTTTCACCTCATGCTTCTGTTCACCTAGCAGTAAAATAGGTACCTGGTAGTTCGTTGTCCCTTTGTCAACGTGTCCGTGTGTCCCTTTGTGTTGAATACATGTATATGTATATGGAGTATAAATGTATATGTATGTGGTACATATATGTATATACATGGGATGTATATATGTGAGATGTGATGTTGATGCAGATTCGGAGCTGCTGCTGCTGCTTTCAATATGTAAATGCCTGCTTTTCTGCCCTGATTCAGGTTGGGAGAGCCAGGTGAAGCTGAGGAAGCTAGGAGAAGCTGTGAGAGGCTAGGAGAGCTTGGTGAAGCTGAGGAAGCTGGAGTCGAACCAAATACTTCGACAGTGGAATTATCACTCCACCTCACACTGTCCTGATCACTCAGCTCTCACTACTTATAAATAATATCACCTTTTCAAAATTTTCACGCCAACTTCTCAAATTTTCACGCCAACTTTTCATGCCAACTTTTCAGATTTTCACGCCAACTTTTCAAATTTTCACGCCAACTTTTCATGCCAACTTTTCAAATTTTCACGCCAACTTTTCAAATTTTCACGCCAACTTTTCAAATTTTCACGCCAACTTTTCAATTTTTCATGCCAACTTTTCAAATTTTCACGCCAACTTTTCAAAATTTCACGCCCACTTTTCAAATTTTCACGCCAACTTTTCAAATTTTCACACCAACTTTTAAAATTTTCACATTTTCACTCCAACTTTTCAAATTTTCACACCAACTTTTCAAATTATCATGCCAACTTTTAAATTTCTCAGACCAACTTTTCTGGTGCCTTATTTTGATAATTACTTACACCAACTTTTCAATTTTTCACTCCAACTTCAAATTTTCACACAACTTTTCAATTTTTCACTCCAACTTTTTAAATTTTCACACCAACTTTTCAAATTTTGAATCCACTGTATACATAAATAAATGTTACTAACTGGCAACCTTGCCTGGGGCCTCATTGACTGCCGGAAATGTTGGTTCTCGATCAGTACGCCTTCCACCGTGGTCGGGGGAGGGTTACGGCTCTCCCAGATTACGCTACGGGCTTCAGCTCCCGGACCCGCCATGCCGTCTTGACTGCCAGGGCCGCCCCCCCCCGGTTCCTGTGGACCACTTTCACAGTCTTAAACGGTACTGTCAGTCTCCAGCACTATATGGTCTATCCTGAGACATTCACTCTGGCACTGTATGCCACCTGGCACTGTGATCTACCTGGTACTGTGATCCACCTGGCACTGTAGGCCACCTGGCACTGTATAGACTGTGCCTGATCACTCTCTAGCCGAATCCACCATATAGATTCGTGGAACCATTCTCACAGGTTCTACTGTGTCACTTAAACTCACTGCCAATATCTTCTTTGACCACTCATTAGTGTTAGAACCACCCACACTTGTTCTGCCGACACTGGCATCCTTAATCACCGTATGAGGTGATTCAACGCCCTTAACAAGCACTCCTCTTACAGACGTCTGGGCTCACGGGCTTGGCTTCTCTGCTGCTAGTTAGGTAATCTTAGAGGACCTGGAATCACTCCATTAGTTCCTTGGGGTAATTAGATTCTGCTTTTAACTCCATGCTTCCCTTGCCTTCTGGGGCACAGATAGTTCGGCTGACTGACGGATCCCCCAGGAGGCTCTAGCTCCTGGACTCTGTGCCATACAGCTGATGTAGAACATGTTGCCACCTCTAGGACTCGAACCCTGATCCGCCTGAGAGGATAACATAACCGCAATTTAATCATAACATTCGACTCGTCAGGAAAAAAAAATGCACTAATCCTGCATGAATGTTGAACCATTCATGCACGGCAACATGCAACTTTGACAAGATAGGCACTCGCTCTTTGCACGAATGTTGAAGTTTGCACTCACACTATCATGCAATATTTGCAAGACCAGCATTGCCTACCTTCCTGCATGAAAGTTGAGCCATCCATTTATATCATACAACATTTCAGGAATCAGATGTACTCTCTCTCTCTCTCTCTCTCTCTCTCCTCTCTCTCTCTCTCTCACTCTCTCTCTCTCTCTCTCTCTCTCTCTCTCTCTCCTATCTCTATCTCTCTCTCTCTCTCTCTCCTCTCTCTCTCTCTCTCTCTCTCTCTCTCTCTCTCTCCTCTCTCTCCTCTCTCTCCTCTCTCTCTCTCTCTGTCTCGTTGATAGAATGAAAGAGCATTATATTCCACGGTCATAAATCACTGAATTGGACGGACGGACCTGTCTGTGGAATATTATTGTGAAATTTCTAACGTATAAATGAAAATTCCTTTCATTATTTTTCCTGTGATGCGTTCCACTAGACTCTGGTGGACACTTAATGCATATATATTGCTCTAGCGACGAGAGCGATATATATGCATTATGTTCTGTTATTGTTTTCGAATGGGAATAATAACGTCAAAGTCATTCATCTTGTATTGTGGCGTCTGTGTGTGTTTGTTTGTTTAATTGGTCATTCATTCTGCATTTCAATCTGTCATTCAACTTTGTCATTCAACCTATCATTAATTCTTTCGTCCATAATTGTATTCAATCTGTCATTCATTCTTTCATTCAGTGTATCAATCAATCTATTATTGAATTTGGAATTGAACCTATCATTCATTCTACATTTGAACCTAGCATTCATTCTACATTTGAGCCTGTCATTCAATCTACAATTGAATCAATCATTCAACATATTCAACCATGTAAGTGTATCTTAACATATATCTGTAACTAGCTTGAGACTGTACCTAACATGTACCTGGTTCGAGGCTTGATCCTCTACCCGATTTTGAGTGAATCCAGTTGAAGTGAGTACTCGGCTTCGGAACATTAAATGGCCCAAGGGGCTTGACGATGTAAGCTGCTTTCCATTATGTTCTGACAATTATCGAGGAGTAATCTGATGGTACTCGGCTATTGGTGTGATATGGTACCCCCCCAGTGACCCCTTACTGGATTCGAACCCGGGCCGCCATGCAGGGGTCTCCCCCACATAAAGAATTCAATTAAAAACTAATAACCACTCTCCATACAAGGACAAAAAACAAACAACACAGCAAATACATCGACAAATACAGCAACAAATACAATCTGTTGATCTGCTAATGCAAACAGCCCGTTCTGGCAATGTTTGTAAATCGCGAAACAAGGCGATTTTTTCGTTGGATGAAATCCCCTTAACTTGATGGATACCTAGTTTTTTCTATCTCCGGATTTTATCAAGTGATTTACATGGAATTTGTTCAGTTCAAAGTTTTGGAAAATGGTTTTGGGTCTTAGTTTTGTATTCAAGTTTTTGAGTTGCAGCTCTGTATCTCTGTCTGTCTGTCTGTCTGTCTGTCTGTCTGTCTGTCTGTCTGTCTGTCTGTCTGTCTGTCTGTCTGTCTGTCTGTCTGTCTGTGTCTGTCTCTCTCTCTCTCTCTCTCTCTCTCTCTCTCTCTCTCTCTCTCTCTCTCTCTCTCTCTCTCTCTCTCTCTCTCTCTCTCTCTCTCTCTCTCTCTCTCCCACCACCATCACTCTCCACAATGAAGGAGTCAAATGAGAGAAAATTGACATAACTAAAATATGATGCCACTTGAATTTGTTGAAGCGGAACCCCCAACAGTTTAGTTGTTCATCGGACACTGTTAAAATGTTCAATCTATTGTACAATCTATTCACTCCCGATCTAATTTTTTCCCTTTTACATCTACTACATAAATTTGTCTCTAACACACACACACACACACACACACACACACACACACACACACACACACACACACACACACACACACACACACACACACACACACACACACACACACACACACAATAGATGGAATGCATTAGGCAGTGATGTGGCGGAGGCTGACTCCATACACAGTTTCAAATGTAGATATGATAGAGTCCAGTAGGCTCAGGAACCTGTATACCAGTTGATTGACGGTTGAGAAGCGGGACCAAAGAGCCAAAGCTCAACCCCCCCCCCAAGCAAAACTAGGTAAATACAACTACGTAAGTACACACACACACACACACACACACACTCACAGGAAGCAGCCCGAACCAGCTGTCTTAACTCCCAGGTACCTATTACTGCTAGGTGAACAGGTGCATCAGGGGTGAATGAAACTCTGCCTACTTGTTTTAACCTCGGCCCGGAATCAAATTTTTTTTTTTTTAGGACGCCGACCCCAGAGCGCTGTCCACTCGGCCACGAGGACCTATGTTGAACCTTCGGAGTTATAACATGATGATATCTTAAGATATCTATTGCCCAAAAACGTCAACATTTAATTTAGTAAAGAATATTCCCTTCTATAATGTTTGACATTCTTTGAACATTTCAAAAATAGTTAGAATACTCTAAAAAAAAAAATATATTACAAATTCGCACAGAAAACTGCAAATTCTATCAGTGCCAATTTTGGCGTTGTAGCCCCAAAATGTATTGCTAATTTGGTTCATCGTTACCGCCCGGACATAAAAAAGAATAGTTGGACAATTTATTGTAATCGTTACCGGCCAAATGGACAAAGACCGCGCTGAAAACATGGCGGGAAAAATGATGTATTGACTCGTTATAGCGAGGAGTTAAATTGGTAATATTAAGTGAGTTGTGTTATGCCGCTGATGTATGAGTCCAGGTGATGGACTAGTCTGTTGTGGTACGCATTTTGTGGCGAGGGGTGATTAGGGTGGTGATTAGGAAGATGATTATAATGATGATTTTTTTTTATTTTGCCTTTCAGAAAGCAAGAGATAGATATCCACTGACAGTGAAAGAGATATCCACTAACAGTGAGAGAGATAGATATCCACTGACAGTGAGAAAGATAGATATCCACTGACAGAGAAAGAGATAGATATCCACTGACAGAGAAAGAGATAGATATCCACTGACAGAGAAAGAGATAGATATCCACTGACAGTGAAAGAGATAGATATCCACTGACAGTGAAAGAGATAGATATCCACTGACAGTGAAAGAGATATCCACTGACAGAGAAAGCGATAGATATCCACTGACAGTGAAAGAGATATCCACTGACAGTGAAAGATAGATATCCACTGACAGTGAAAAAGATAGATATCCACTGACAGTGAAAGAAATAGATATCCACTGACAGAGAAAGAGATAGATATCCACTGACAGTGAAAGAGATAGATATCCACTGACAGTGAGAGATAGATATCCACTGACAGTGAAAGAGATAGATATCCACTGACAGTGAGAGAGATATATCCACTGACAGTGAAAGAGATAGATATCCAATGACTGAAAGAGATAGATATCCACTGACAGTGAAAGAGATAGATATCCACTGACAGTGAAAGAGATAGATATCCACTGACAGTGAAAGAGATAGATATCCACTGACAGTGAAAGAGA